CAGTCAGGGGTCAGTTGGGGGTCACCTGGGGGGTCTCACCTGTTTGTAGAGCTCGAAGTGGGTGAGGGGCAGCTGGGGGGTCACTGGGGGGTCAGTCAGGGGTCAGTTGGGGGTCACCTGGGGGGTCTCACCTGCTTGTAGAGCTCGAAGTGGGTGAGGGGCAGCTCGACGGCCTCGCGCACCTCCTGCTTCTGGATGTCCATCCCCCCGATGTCGGCGTACATCACGTCCGGCTTCTGGTCTGGGGAGGTCACAGGGGTCACAGGGGTCACAAGGGTCACCTGGGACCACCTGAGACCACCTGGGGTCACCTGGGACCACCACAGGTCACCTGGGGTCACCTGAGACCACCTGGAGTGACCACGGGTCATCTGAGACCACCTGGGGTCACCTGGAACTACCACGGGTCACTTGGGGTCACCTGGGGTCACCTGGGTCACCTGGAGGGACCTGGGGTCACCTGAGACCACCTGGGGTCACCTGGGACCACCACAGGTCACCTGGGGTCACCTGAGACCACCTGGGGTCACCACAGGTCAACTGAGACCACCTGGGACCACCTGTGGTCACCTGTGGTCACCTGGGACCACCTGGAGTGACCACGGGTCACCTGAGACCACCTGGGTCACCATGGGTCACCTGGAGGGACCACAGGTCACCTGAGACCACCTGGGGTAACCTGAGACCACCTGGGGTAACCTGAGACCACCTGGGGGTCACCTGGGACCACCACAGGTCACCTGGGGTCACCTGAGACTACGTGAGACCACCTGTGGTCACCTGCGGTCATCTGGGGTCACCTGGGACCACCTGGAGTGACCACGGGTCACCTGAGACCACCTGGGGTCACCTGAGACCACCTGGGACCACCACAGGTCACCTGAGGCCACCTGGGACCACCACAGGTCACCTGGGGTCACCTGAGACCACCTGGGGTCACCATGGGTCACCTGAGACCACCTGGGACCACCTGTGGTCACCTGTGGTCATCTGGGGTCAC